TTCGAAAGTTATGCGAGGCGCCAGTTTGAACAACTATCGAAGTCCCAATTTGGGGTTTATGAACAAGGAGAAGAAGACTTTGACAACGGGTTTGGCGTAAACAAAGATGCAGAAAACACGGATCAGCGAGAATTTGAGAGCCTGTACTATAGCGCTTCTCCTGGTCACGGTATGCAATTGAGTCCGCCGGAGTCTCCAGAAGGAAGTTATCAAGGCTCTCTCGATGAACATTTGATGCACTCCCAAGAGCATGGAGGGCTGGATGCTGTGCATCATGAGGGAATAGATGCTTTCTACCGTGAAGGGATGGATCTTTCGCACCGTGGAGGAGTAGATGCATCAGTGCAAGTCTCCAACCATAATAGCCCAAGATTCTATAGAAACACTGACGCATCTACGAGTACTGATTTCATCCAAGAAAGCCCAGATGTATGGAGAAGAGAGTATCATGGGCCGCACGAACACGACGATCTTAGCTCATCCCAAGCTAGGCGAGAATACCATGGCCCACACGATTATGACCATGTGGAGTCACCACAGCCTGGACGAGATTACCATGGCCAATACGAGTACGGTCAGGTAGAGTCGCCACAAGCTAGACGAGACTACCATGGCCCACATGAGCACGACGATCACATAGCCGCGCTACCGCAAGCCAACCCACGACCTCAGATTCCATTTGAAGAAAGGGAAACAAATCGAACACTGACTGAAGAAGAAATACGTGCTCGGTTCTTGACTAATTTCGCGAAAAGGCGAAAGGATTCGCTTGCTGAAGAGGATCCATGTGATCCAGTACACACGATGGGCTCACTTGAGTCCATGTTATCTTCGGGCTCACGAGAGTCTGTAGTTTCGTCTGTTTCTATAAGAAAAGAAGCCTTTACGCACAGGCATTTCATGTATTGATTGATTGTAACTCAGATGTGCATATTGTTCATTATTGATAATCTCATACATGTTTGGAAAAGACAGAATTATGATCTTTTTGATCTCATGATGTTATTGATGTGTCATTCTCAGATGGAGCTAATAAGATCTATCTCATTGAAGCAATTGTGTTCCTGTTTTCAGTTATCCGTCTTTCTAAACTGTTTTGAACAATTTTTAAAGTAAAAAACATTGAAAGTTTTTTAAAGCTGTACCCTTACTTTTTTTACTCATGTTAAAAATTGAAAAGATTAGGAGATAAATGTGAAAAGCATGTTGCTCGTTACCTAATAGCAGAGGACTTCCATAAATGTTGATTCTTCTATAATCTTTTTGTAGTTTTTGTGAATACTGTACGTGATTTGAACAACCGTTGGATAAATATCTACTACAATGCTACTTGTGATGAACTTTAATTAACTGATTTGGTAAATTTATTAGGAATAACACCCGTAATTATGCCTTTTTTTAAACCTTATTTATTCCGACAGGAGTTCCTCTTTGAACAAAATGTTTAGTCTTATTATATACACAAATAAAATTTGTAAAAAATTCTAATCAAATACCGTAATAGAAAATTTATTAACAACTTTAAGAAGAAGCCAATCAGGGTTGATCTCAGAAACAAGTTACTGCTTATGAAAAAAACTACATTTTTATATGCTCCAATTTAATTCATACTACTTCTGACGCATATCTCTTTCTTTTCGAAAGGAATACCATAGTTTTACAAACTTTAAAAGAAAGAGGAATAAACTAGAACAAATTTATGTTAAGTACTAATATCATATTGATTTTGACCTCAAATTATAATCCTATGTTTGAGCACATACTTGACTCTGCTCTAGAAAACGGCGACAAATGCATGAAAATTGAAAAGAAAAAGTAATTGCTCTATGCAAATTCGTAACCACTCCACCATGAAAAGGCAAAGAGCAAGTAAACAACTTTACCTGCCGGAAAATTACCGCACTACAACTAGCGACAGGTCGGGTTATTTTTATTTTTATCTACATACGCACTGTATAGTGCCTGAAAACGAATCTTACAGTAAGCAGTCTTTATCCCAAGAGCGCATTAGAAAGTGCAGGGGACAACAAGGCAAGTAGGACATATCGAAAGCTTGCCGCATATTTCAGGTAAAAGCTGTCGTTAAGTTTTTTTTTTCCTTCGTTGAGCTTCTAATTGAATTCAACTTTGCATTTTATGAACCAGACCAACCAATTTCGAACAAAGAGTATGGAAGATTCTTTGTCGAGATATACTAGGTCCTCAACCAAGGAAAAATCCAAATCCCATGTCTATTCGTTGTTGAGATAAAAAGCATCAACTTCTAGCCTTTTGTCTTGAATGTCTGTTTGAACTATGAAGTATAAGAAAATCACAAAACAACAAGATTTTCTCCTCATTTTCAAACCAAACTGTCATTTGACTGTGAAATCTTGAGGACTAGCGCCAAAAAGCCTTCTTGAACTAGTGCAAACGCGCATAGATTCTCCGCTAGAGGGCGGGGGTCACTGACCGAGATTCTATCCTTTTCCGACTTCAACGCTCAGGATGGGATGAATTTATAGTCTTTTTAGTATTTTATCTCTAATTTTAATGCGGCGATTACGCTAACTAGGTAGTTCGACGTTATGAATTATAACAGAATTCTGGAGTCATCTCCAATCCTACTCAATATAAATCTTATAAAAATGGTTAACATTTTTCTATAAAATCCTCCCTTTAGTTCTAGTTACCTCTATCGTATTGCTTCAGATTGATTTGTTTGGTTTTTGAAGTAAAAATATCCAAATTTCCATTAAAAACATAGAAGAAAAGTTTATTCTCTTGCTCCCTCCTAACTTCTTTACAAACTTAACTTTAAAAATTATCTTTCACTTCAATCTATCTTCAGATGATTCCTTGGGTTTTCATATTCTTAGTGAGCAGCGCATCCGGCTCATTTTGCGGGAGAAGTGGAGTGCCCTTCAGCGTTGAAGTGCTGCCTTCAGGTTTTTCATAAACGGATCAATCCCCATTAACTTGATAATGTCGTTTCTCTAAATTAAAGGTGCTCCCGTGCTTGGATGTGCGCAACCGTCATGCCTCGCTCAACCCGCTGATGATGTTGATGACAGTGTGTTTAATACCGATGCATCCGGTCAAATTGATGGTTTCTTTCGTGAGGGAGACAACTCGCATCAGGGTTATCTTCAAACGAATAAGCTAAGAGCGGTTCGTTTATCGTTTACCATGAGCGCTCGTCTTTCCCTACTTTGTCATGTCCAAATCAACTGAGTTCAGCCCCCAAATTGCCTATTTTCCCTACACATCCCCTTTGTTGTTATTCCTTATCTACA